CAGGTTTGAGAGCCTGGGAGGGAGGGCAAGTAGCGGCGCGCGAATCAGCTGTTTCGCGCGCTGTGGCAGCAGCAGCGGAGGTGAGCTAGGGTGGCCAGGGCACATTTTTAGGGGCGGCATTCTGGCACCAGCCATGCCGCCCCTAAAAATGTGCTGCCCCAAGCACCAGCTTGTTTTGCTGGTGCCTAGAGCCGGCCCTGTCTCTCATGATTGGGTCCTACATGTCACACTGAAAATGAGAGGTTTCATCCATATGATCGTCTCCTACCTTCATATTCCCCAGCAAAGACATATCTGTCCACTTGCAAAATGGGCCTCTCTGTGTCTATTCCCTACGAACAAGGATAGACAGAAATTACATTGAAGTCATGCTTCAGCTAGTCAAGGCAAGGCATCAAGACTAGAGAAAACAACTGGTAAACTGGTATGCCAAGTACAGTAAAACCAACATTATATACAGATTCCCTGAAATGGTATATGCAGTACAAGACAAAAAAACAATATGAAATGCAAACGAGCGATAGTAAATCAAGTCTATTCTATCACACTGAGATTAGTATGGGGAGAAAAATAAACATACAGAAAGGAAACTTTATTTTCAGTTTATAGACTCAAAAGCTTCCTAAACGGTGAGATTTAGATGAAACAGATACACAGTATATCTCAGACAATTAGGTAAGCAAATGAGAAAGGTGTACAGGAGAAAAAAAGGTTGCATAGTACACAAACACCTAAACAGCACACTGACACATCACCAGTCAATGACAGCGATAGGAAGCTATTATTTATATGCAATCAGCAGATCTCTGAAAATAAAGGGACACCATCAACTTATCAAGTAAATTTCTAAAAGTGAGTTAAAAGTGGTTTCCAGCACTATTCCTGCTTCTGTTTTCTTCTACAAGTTTCTGTGGCTTTACAATCACTTTCCCCTATTTTTAAAGTGTATTTTTCCCCCATTTCTGTAAGAGTGTCTCGCAATCAACAGGGAAGTGACTATACAAAAGAAATATTGAACCTGACTAAACACAAAATGCTGTGAAACAAAGTAAACAAACAAATATTTTGGGGTGACAACTTCTTTCAATCATAGTAACTTTAGATGTTATATTAATTATACTCGGTACATGATTTTAAGACAAACACTATTTTTCAGTTGATGGTGTCCCACTGACTGAATCCTTTTAAAAAGTCTTTGACCTGGAAAAGGCTACAGCATGTAGAGGGAAGAGGCAGTTGCTAGAAATCCAAAGGAGCATAAACTAACTTGTATTCAATCTCCTATTTCTTAACAGCTTTTAAAAAGTACTTTATGTAATTGCCTCAGGGAAAACAGTATTTTAACTCAGAGTTTTATATTACTAAGTTTACTTGCATGGAAAATAAATTATTCCCTAAGGGACAAAACCTTTATCTAGTTTCAGGGCTGCATGATGGGGGATTTCTGTGTGGACAAGAGGGTGGAAGAAATCCTTATTCTGGCTGCAGTTCAGTACAAAATCTATTTCACTGTCATTAATGCAACTTCAGGTTTACAGTAGCTTCTGTGGCTCCTGTGCATTGATTTTGGGAGTGTGTTTTTTGGGTTGGGGAGGCATGGTTTGAAGGGGGAGGGCAGAGCCGGCCAGAAAATCTACTGAGTATATGTGCCTTCCCAAAACCCATTTGCATGCAGGGATGCTGGAAGTCCCCACTGAACATAGCTTTGCAGCATAGAGGTTGGGACCCTTGCACGAGGTTCCAAAATCCTGCCCTCCCTTCTGCAACAGAACCTCATAAGTTGTGCTGGCTCTGAGCCTTCCAACTATACAGGGCATAGGGACAAGATTTATAATCTCACAGGTTATTGGCTCTTCCTGCTTATTCTTCATACAGAATCACAATCCTCAGTTTGTAATATCAGTCCTCTCCACACAACCCAATTATGATACCACAAATTAAGGAAGACATCAGATGGAGAATCAGTTGCAAGATCAGAAGAACTCTTAATGGTGAGTCACAATATTTTAAGTACACAAAAATTAATTTTCTAAATCGCTATCAGAATATGAGCAACCTTAAAACTGTAAAAACAACAGAAGCTCACGTATTCTCACTTCATAAGCCTGAAATGTTTTCAGAAAAAAAACCAACAGTCTACCCCATGTGACGCTGTATGGAATATGGGAAACACTTTATGATATTGTTGATCCCAATATTATAAAATTGCAAGGAATCTTACCGGATATGCCATGTGAAAATGTTATGATTTGCCAAGTATAAAAATCTTGTTTATATGTTTCTATCACCTTTTATTGTTAAAAGAAGAACAGGAGTACTTGTGGCACCTTAGAGACTAACTATTAGAGCATATGCATCCGAAGAACTGGGCTGTAGTCCACGAAAGCTTCTGCTCTAATAAATTTTGTTAGTCTCTAAGGTGCCACAAGTACTCCTGTTCTTCTTTTTGCGGATACAGACTAACACGGCTGCTACTCTGAAACCTTTTATTGTTAGTTATAGATGTTTGATATATCTGTATTTCAAAACTTGTGCTGTGTTTCTAGGTGACACCCCCAGACAGATTGACATCAGCACTGCCTAGCCTGTTTGATGGCCTATCATGGTCATCAGCTGTATAAAGAACCCACTGAAAGGAGCCAGGGGCTACACCTTATGAGTCAGCAGGACAAGTAGGGACATGCCATGTGCTGTGAAGCTTGTGTTTGGGACACAGGAAGTACAAGCCAGATGGCAAAAGGAATATAAAGGACAGCTGCATCATCTCCATTTTGTATTTATTTCTGCTTCTTACCTCTGGAGTAACTTTTCTACAAACAAAGCTCTGAACAAAGGACTGAATGACCCATCCAGGGATATTGCTAAGAACCTGATATATGGACTCTGAAGTCTCTGTATGTATCCAATTGCTTTACCATTTAACAAATCTCTTCTTGTTCTTTCTTTTTTTCCTTAGAATAAACCTTTAGTTTTAGACTCTAAAGCAGGCCTGCACAACTCGTAAAGCGGCGAGGGCCATATTACTCCAAAGAAAATAGCTGAGGG